AATTCAGGAGAATATGTGCTAGTGACACATTGAGCATACCGAGCAGGGGGATGACGATCTCGTGGAGGATTGCGGCGAGGGGGAGGAGTCACATCGGGAGAAGCTGGCACAGATGTAGAGGGGACATCAGTAGGAGTATCTTGCTGCAAAGGAGATGTAGTAGGTGGATGTTCAGGTGGTGTGGATGAATCAAGAACACTATCGTTTGATGCCATTGGAGTGAAGGAGGGAGTCGGTTGAGTAGACAAAGGTACAGGTACTACTGATACAGGTATAGTAGTGGAAGGTAATGAAGGGGGTTGAAGAAATGAGATATCTGAATCTGAAGTAGTATAATATGAAATATTCTCAAAGAATGTCACATGACGGGCAATACGAAGCCTTCGAGTGGTAGGTTCATAACAACGATACCCCTTGTGAACAGTGCTATAGCCAAGAAAGATACATCGTGCAGTGCGTGGAGATAGTTTATCTCGTTCATGAGTTGGAAGTAGGACAAAACAGACACATCCAAAAGTGCGAAGAAGAGAATAGCGAAACTGAGATTTAAAAAGTTGAAAATATGGAGAAGTGTCAGCTAATACAGAAGATGGAGTAATATTTATAAGGTAAACAGCAGTCAGAAGTGCTTCTGCCCAGAGATATCGAGGTACAGATGCTGATATCAGAAGAGCTCTAGTGGTATCGAGAATGTGACGATGTTTTCTCTCAGCAACACCATTTTGTTCATGAGTGTGTGGACAAGATTGTTGAGAGAGAGTGCCATGCGATTTTAAAATAGATTGCATTGCTGAAGAGATATATTCACAGGCACCATCAGAGCGAAATATCTTTATACGTTTATGAAACTGGGTGTGGATCATATTTGTAAAGTCTTTATAAATATTTAGAATATCAGAACGAGCACGCATGAGATATACCCAGGTGTAGCGAGAATAGTCATCAATAAAACTGACATAATATCGATAACCGGACAATGATGGTAATGGGGCAGGTCCCCAGATATCAGAATGAATCAAATCAAATGGGGCTAAAGAAATTTTATTACTGGATGAAAATGGTAGGGCAATTTGTTTAGCTAATCGACACCCAGTACAGTTTGATAAAGTAGAGAATTTTAAATTTCCTAATACGCCTGATTCAGATAAAAGTTTTAAGCGAGAACCAGAGATATGACCCAAGCGGCGGTGCCACAGATCAGAAACAGAGAGGCCATGACCAATGTTGGATGGAGTGGAAAGATGTAGAGACTCCAACTGATAAAGTCCATTAACTCTACGACCTGTCCCAATCTTCTGGCCAGTGTGATCCTGGACAACACAAGATTTAGCATTAAATAAGATAGTGCAACCAGAATCAGCAATTTTCCCAATGGATAAAAGTTGCATAGATAATTTGGGAATATGAAGAACAGATGATAATGTTAGATGACCGGAACTATCAGAACTTGGAGTAATATCACCTAACTGAGAGACTGCAATGGGAGTGTCATTAGCAGTATAAAATGCATAATGAAGTGGGAGCTGGTGAACAATTTGTAAGAATGGAGTTATCAAAGGTCATATGATGAGATGCACCTGAGTCGAATATCCAAGGAGTAGAAGTACCAGAATGAGCAGACAAGGCAGTAAAATCTGAACTGGAGGCAGTTCCACTTAGCCCAAGATTCTTGGTTATTAATGCAGTAATCTCTGACAACTGCTCAGAGGAGAGAGAGCTAGAAGTCTGCGGCCCTTGAGGAATAGGGCTAACATCAGCCGAAGCAGCAAATGGAGATCGAGTCTTCTCAGGTGTCGGACGGGGTGGTCTCTTACGACATTTATCAATAAGATGACCCGGCTTCTTACAATAACGACA